GGAATTGATGTCTCAGATTGGCCAAGAACACATTGTGGATCATTCAAACTTTGGTCAAATGCTGTGTGTCAGAAGTGATACATTTTCTGAAGCACCAATTTTGACTTTTCATTTTGATGGGGCAGATGTGCAAGTAATGCCTACCCAAACCTTTGTTTTTGTTGAAGATGGGGTTCGTTGCTTTGCAATGAACGGAGCACTTCATGAACCATATGTATTTGGAAATTTGGCTCAAGCAAACATTTTGATTGGGTTTGATCTTGATAAAAGGACTGTATCCTTTAAGCCAACCGATTGCACCAAACTGTAAACATCATTTTGGTGTAATTTCTAATGTGAGAAAATTAAAATACTCATACTGATCTCTATAATTTGAGGTTTGAACATGGGATCAAGAAAAAGTCCAGGGATATAAAATATTCAGTCCTTGTGCACAAAAATAAAACAAGATATAATAACTTATAAACATTTAAGAGTGATTAGCTCCTTACTTTCTCATTTTACAATTAAACTCATTTTAAGGTGTTTTTTACGTGTCTCTATCTATTTATTTATTTTTATTTTTCCTCTCTTTATGTAGAGAGAGTAATAGAAATACAGACACCTTAATTTATCTTGATATAATACTTTAAATATATAAATGTCTAAATACAAAAAGTAAACTTCAATAAATAATGTAACATTATAATTTTATACTGTATTTTATAAGTAAATTATTAAATGAAACATTAATTGCATTTCACAAAATGTATTTAACACCTTTTATTTAATACGCAGGAGAGTTAATAAAAGAAGCAAGAAGGTACATAAATATTTGACTTTAATTATCTTATTCCTTCATAAAATATTTAATGAAACTTATTATACTTATAAATGCTTTGATTTTGCATTATCTTTGTATTTTGTTTATATTTATTGCACGCCACTTTAGAGCTTATATGCTTATTAAATGCTATTGTAAATTATATTTTCTATTAATTTGTATTTCAATAATTTTATATTAACAAATAATATAAATTTGGTATTTTTGTATAGTTATTTTGAGCAGGGACAGATGCACTAGTATTTGAGTGGAGGCAAGTACATACCTTTTCAACTTCTTTCAACTTCTTGAGTTTAGCTCCGTGGCTTTGCTTTTCTACTTGCTATTGCGAACTTGGGAGAAAAGAAAGGAAGAATATTACGTGGGTATGCTGTAAGCTTCATTTTAAGTCTTCAACAACTCTCGGTTCTATATTTTTTTGTGTCAAAAGCATTATTTTTTGTTCAACAAATTTTTACCCAACAAGCTATGAGCTGTCCAACAAATGGAGAATATTGGATAACATTTCACCCCCTATTTTTATTTGTTCAACTGTAATATATTTCTTTGTTTGTTCCATTGCATTTGTTACTGTTTTATCAATAAATTATTTGCTTATTTGATTATTTAATTTGCTCTATTTTATTATTAGATATTTGGATTATTTGTATTAGTTTTAAGACTTATTGTTATTTTTATGTAAAATATTATAATCTTTATTATTGATTTTAGTTTTATGAACATGAAATTAATTATGATTTTATTGATTTTATTTCTAGCAATGAAAAGATTTTTCAAAAGAAAATCAATATCAGAACAATCATTTTCTCTTCAAGCACTTAATGAATGTAGAAGTACAATATTGGTCCATCTAATAAAAAAAGATTTTTAGAATTTGATTTGGAAAAACTTCCTAATAATCCCAGTTTAAGGCCAAAAATGTCAAATTATCATCCAAGTGCTAGAGATGAAATTAGGATATATTATTTGCAAAAGGATCCTTGTCAACCAAAAGAGATTAATTTTCCACAAAGACAATTTGGGGATACAATTCATAAATTTAATCCAGATTGGTATTCAAAATATGGCAATTGGTTAGAATATAGTCAAAAGGAGGATGCAACATATTGCTTATATTGTTATCTTATGAGATCACATGTTGGAGAACATAAAGGTAGTGGTGATGCATTTATAATAGAGGATTTTACAAATGGGAAAAAAAGTGACAGGTTTCAAGTTCATGTAGGATATGGGTTAAGCTTGTCAAGGTTACGTGGACAAGGATATGATGGAGCAAGTAATATGCAAGGTGAATTCAATGTTCTCAATAGCTTAATATTGAGGGAGAATTGTTCAGCATTTTATATTCATTGTTTTGCTCATCAACTCCAATTAGCTCTTGTTATGGTAGCAAAAAAGCATGTTGAAATTGCATTGTTTTTTAATTTAGTTGCTAATTTGTCTAATGTTGTTGGAGCATCATGTAAGCGTCGAGATATTCTTCGTGAAAATCAAATTGCAAAGGTAAAAGAAGCATTGCAAAAAGGAGAAATCTCCCGTGGACGTGGTTTGAATCAAGAAGGCAGGGGTTACTAGATGGAGCTCACATTATGGTACCTTATTTAATCTAGTTTCTTTGTTATCTTCTATGATTGATGTGCTTGAAATGGTTGAAGCATGTGCTTTGTTAAATTATATGCAATCTTTTGAATTTATTTTCATCTTGGACTTGATGAAAAATATTTTGGAGATTACTCATAAGTTATCTTAAGCATTACAAAGAAGTGATCAAAATATTGTAAATGCTATGAAATTAGTTATAGTGTCTAAACAGAGGTTACAAGCTATGAGGGATGATGGTTGACATTCTTTACTCACTGATGTTTCATTATTTTGTGAAAAGCACAATGTTGTCATTCCAAATATGAGTGATACTTTTCAAACAAAAGAAAGGTCAAGACGCAAAATGGAAAAAGTATCTAATTTACATCATTTTCAAGTTGAATTATTCTATCAAGTGCTTGATTGACAACGAGTTGAATAATCGTTTTACAGAAGTGAATACTGAGTTGCTTCTTTGTGTAGCATGCTTAAATCCAAGAGATTCATTTTCTGCATTTGATAAGGAGAAGTTGATTTGTTTTGCTCAATTTTATCCTTCAGAATTTTCTCCTGTTGCACTTTTGGCACTAGATAGTCAACTTGAAAATTATTTTATAGCTAGGGGATTAGTGATCTTTCCATAAAGCTGAAGTGATCAAAATATTGTAAATGCTATGATATTAGTTATAGTGTCTAAACAGAGGTTATAAGCTATGAGGGATGATGGTCGGCATTCTTTGCTCATTGATGTTTCATTATTTTGTGAAAAGCACAATGTTGTCATTCCAAATATGAGTGATACCTTTCAAACAAAAGAAAAGTCAAGACGCAAAATGGAAAAAGTATCTAATTTACATCATTTTCAAGTTGAATTATTCTATCAAGTGCTTGATTGACAACTTCAAGAGCTGAATAATTGTTTTACAAAAGTGAATACTGAGTTGCTTCTTTGTGTAGCATGCTTAAATCCAGGAGATTCATTTTCTGCATTGGATAAGGAGAAGTTCGTTTTGCTCAATTTTATCCTTCAGAATTTTCTCCTGTTGCACTTTTGGCACTAGATAGTCAACTTGAAAATTATTTTATAGCTAGGGGATTAGTGATCTTTCCATAAAGCTTGTGGAGACCAAAAAATATGTTGTGTATCCGTTGGTCTATTTGCTTTTTGAGTTAGCTTTAATATTACCAGTAGAAACTGCAACAGTTGAAAGAGCCTTCTCTACCATGAATATCATCAAGAATCGGATGCGAACTGCATAGGAGATGAATGGTTGAATGATTGTTTGGTTACTTGTATAGAGAGAGAGATTTTTTGTAATATTGAAAATAAGAAAATTATTCATTGTTTCCAAAATATGAAAATTCGTAGAGAACAATTATGATATGTATTTATACTTTCAAATATTATGTTACATTGTTAATGCAGTAAAATTTGTACATATTGCCCACAACAACAAAAAATTTGGATCCGTCACTGATTTTGAGTGTTTCTTTCACACAACATTAAAAGGCTAACACGGAATAATCCTAATCTGTCTACTTTATATTCAGCGTATACTCCTTTGTAACTCATCTGGTTCTATAAATACTTTTGATCAATGTTTTCTTTTCCTTTTTCAAGTTAATATATTCATACTAAAAATAATTTTTCTTTCTGTATTATACATAATGAATCATAATGCGTTATGTATTTTTAATAATACTTGAATTTATATCTAAATTTTCATGATTGACCTCTCTTTATATATATATATATATATATATATCATTATTCATCTCTTTACAAGGTGTGTGTGTGGGGGGCTTTTACCATATTATACATAGACGTCAATGTAAATAGGAAAGGTATAGATATTAGATGCAAAAAGATATATATATATATATAAACTGAAAGATTAAGGGGTCAGTCACATAACTTAATTTATAAAAAAAAATTCCAATAAATTAAAGTTTAATGGATAAAAGAAAGTTTAAAATATTGAATTAGAAAAAAAAAACTTAAAAGATTTTTAGTGGAATCAATTTTATAATATAAATAAATATGAAATAAGCATTGCAAATATCAATATTCCAAAACTTATTCACTTTAGGCAAGTCAAAAGACTAAATATTACAATTTTTTAATCCTTCTTTGAAAATTTTAATTAACTTACATTTAGATTTTCTTTCATAAAAAATTTAAGTAAAATGCAAGTAAAATAATACATTTGAGAAAAAAGTTATACATAATGTGACTTTGAAAATTCAGTTAGCTCTCTAAACGCCCCGATTGGAAGTTTAAATATAAAAATAATTTGAATGATGATAAAGAACAGAGAAAAGATGAGAAAAAGTGACGTTAAACTTATCTCTTATTTGTTATTTTAGACGTTAAAACACTCCAGGAGAGTTCAAAAACTACAAGTAAACAAATTTTAGACGGCATAAAGAAAATATTTTTCTCTCCTAAATCTAACTTACAAATATAGCCCAGAAAACTAAAACGTGAACTTGATTTTAACAAATACTGTGACCAAATTTTATGATATAAAATTTTTAAAAATGAAAAAGTAAATAAAGTATTTCTTTTATGGACCGGTTTTATGTATTTAATCCAAGTCAAATGAGGTATTAGATGCCAGAAATATTATCAATTGGGTAGGAAGCAATTGCTCACCCACTTTAGTAAGTCAGCGCTTTTGTAGAATCACAACTTAATATATAAATAAAAATATAAAACGGCCTCAATCTATTTTTCTTACCATTAACTTACATAGAGTGAACTCAATTTTATCAGTATTTCTTAGCCTCGTCCTTTCCCTTCATTTGTTGCTTAATTAACATTTATAGAACACTAAACATCAAGCAGAAGCATTCTGCTTAGCCTCTCCAATTCACATTACTAGTGTCACAAGTACTAATCCAGCTAAGTAAAATGTTTACAAGCCGAAGAGACTTTTACAAGGCACAATATATATTGAGGAGGCACAAGACTTAAGAGGATGAGAAGGTGTCAATGATGGTTGTGTGAAGTGGGTCACTCAAATGGGTAGCCCAATTGTTAAGTGGGCCCTTGCCAGTGGCAGCAGCTTGAACTGCAAAGCCCAATGCTGCAACCATGGCAAGACGTGCGTGCTTGATTTCTGCCAATTGAAGTGTGGCTTTCTTCTCAGGATCTGCGGCTAAGCCAAGAGGGTCAAAGTACTTGCCACCTGGGTACAACCTCTTTTCTGGGTCAAGCTCAGCATTCCTCTGGAACTCAATGTATCCAACTAACAGAACCTCAATCCAAATCAATGTGCTAATTGAGAATGGAAGTGGTTGCCCAAGATATGATGACCCTTCCACTAGCTCCACCTTAAAATTAAACCGCAAATCCGTCATTAGTTTACATGCATCGAAGTAAACAACACAATTTCTTTGTTTTTATGTTCTGTTTACTTTCACACCAGTTCAAGCAATCTCACCAGCGTTTTTCTTTCTTTTTGCTCATACAAATGTGAAAAATAAAACATAAACCAAACTGTTTTACAAAAAAGTAAACACGTAAAATAATTTTTATTTTTTTTTACAGGCAAAACATATATTATTAGAGAGAGTTCAAGAAAAATTTAAAATTCATATACACAGAAAAAAATTACTAACTCAGAGAAATAAAAATTTATAAATAAATAAATTTAAAAATAAGAAATATTTTCGTTATTAATAATAATAAACAGTTTATTATGATAAATAGCAATACATTAAAATCAAAGCACATCATTTTTATTGATATGATTCATTAAATTAAAATGAACTAATATTCGATGCTTTTAAAATTTAATTTATTTAAAATAAATATATATAAATAAATAAATTACATTAAAATTTAAAATTAAATTTAAAAAATAATCTTTAAAAAGCATAAAAATAAAATATTTAATGCAGAAAATATTATATGTTTTAATGATGATAAATATAGCTCCTAAAATAAAACACAAGTAAAAGAAAATTCATATGTATATAAAACTATAGATGCACGCATTCAATCTGCAATCACACACCAATACCCCTAATCAGATAAAGGACAAATAATTTTTAGAAATAATCACTTAATTTTAAAGTCTCTCCAAAAAAATAAAAAGTTATGTGAAGCATGCACTAAGATCGTGTCATATTATAGACACCCAAAATTGTTACAAGATTAATTCATCAAAACACGAGTAGTCTTTTGCGTCCTTTATCGAGGAGAGACCATCCAAGACGTGCACTAATACGCTATTAACGCACTGTTTTGAATAACTCTTTAAAGCCAAAATAATAATTAAAAAATAATAAATTTACGATATAAGTATTTTGAAGAGTGTGTTGAACGGTGTATTCTTACCTTGCCAGCGTCTTGCCACGTAACACCGGTGAGCCACTCAACAGTGAGGGCCCCAAGCGTGGCAAGCATGGCCCACCTTCCATGAATAAGCTCGCATTCTCTGAACCTCTGCAACCCAAAAACCTCTGTGTAAGGCTGAAACGGCGTCGATTTAACATCCGCACCCTCCGTCCTCGTTCCTATCACATCACCCGCCACGTTCTTCGCTAGGTTCTGATCCAAGGAATCCAATTCGAACTGCAAGTACTCCGCGGGTTTCCCCAACCCGAACGGGTCGAACCCGTAGTCACCGACTAGGCTTCCGTCGAGCCATTCCGGTGCCTTCGCCCCTGGGTACCACAACGGCCGGTCCGTACCCTGACCCGAACCCTTTGCAACTTTTTTCGTGGCTTTCTTCGCTCCGAATCCGAACCTCGCTTGAACCCGACCCGAACCGGAATGCACGTCGCGGAGACGCGTTCCGATGAAGGAGGAAGTGGCGGCTGCGGTTGCTGTGGCGGTTGCCATCAGTGTTTGCTAATGTGCGCCGGTGGTGAGGAGTGGCGGAGAGTTCTTTGAGTTGATGTGTGAGAGGGATGGGAGATATATTTGACGAGGGAAACTAAGATTGGATAATCTGTGATTGGGGGTTTGTGGCCGTTGGTTTTAAGAGAGTATCCATCTGACGGTGGAGAAGGTGTTGGGTCTTATCTTTATGTTTATCTGGTGGTGATGACGTGGATGCCTTCGGTGGACCCGCATAGGTTCTTGATGGTGATTGCTAATGTGGGAATTTGTGGCGCTGGTTCAGTGGTTCGCGTTGAGGATTTTGGGAAAAAATCTAATTACTTTTAACGAGAACAATCCTCTATTAATCTGTTTGGGGTCCGATATTTTAAATGTTTAGCTGAAAAAGGGTATAAATTAATTCGAACACAAAATTTGTTTTAATGCTTATAATTTTTACGTTAAAATAAAATATAATGTAAATTTAGTACATTTTTATACTGCACTGTGAAGAAGAATAAAGAGGAAGCCGGATAACAATATAACACCTACAAGATGCAGTGTTGATATTTTCATTATGTAAGGCATTTTTATTGGTAGGAAAATGGCATCTGAATGTATGGAAGTGCTAAATGGAAATTGTAGAGAAACGAAGTTGGATTGATTTATCGAATGAATGGTTTTTAACAGTTATCAAAGTTTGTTAGTTATATCTGCTCATAAACTAACTCAAGTCTCAAAATTTACTCTTTTCTTCTTGAAAAATATTTCGTTAATAATAAGATTGACTTTAAGAGATGAAGTAGATATTTTCAATTAAAATTTTACATGACCTTATAAGATTTTATGTAACTTTTTATACAAGATTCTCTTATCAAAGACCATCAAAGAACTTTGATTTTTAGTGGAAAATGAAATGACTTTTTCAACAAATTTTTTGGGTAAGCTACGACCAAAGAAAAACATACATTTTTAGTTGAAATAAAGAGACATTTTAAAGAATTCTTTGTGCAAGAAACATTGACCTTTTAGTCAAAGAAAATATGATATTTCGATAAAAAAATTTACAATTTTAAAACTTTTTGTACCTAAAAAATTCTTTCGACGTATCTTTGATAAATATTATAATTGTCAACAAATGCCATCAATAATAAGTTAAATAATGTTTTGTCAAAAAAATTGATTCTAGCTATTTCTCATAGTGAAGTATCTAAAGTACAACTGCTTTAAAAAAAGTTAAAGGTTTGTATAAAAATTTCAAACGTTAGGATAGGTGTTTAGATAGGATAGAAATTACCATTTCTTCTCTTAAACACTTGTACTTAATATCTTAATAATTAACAACGCTCTATGCATATTAGACCTAATAAAAAGAAATTAACAGTATCTCAGTTAAAAGCTTTATGTTTCTTTTAATTGCAATTTATTTTTAGTTTAATTGTTACTCAGTCTATTTAATCGCTTTAAAATCTTTTTAATTCTTTTTTTCTATTTTATTTTATATTTTGTCCAAAAGTTATTCGTTTATGTTGTAAATTTTATTAAAAATACATCGTAAAAAATCCAAGAAAAAATTTAAAATTTAATCTTAAATTATTCTTAAATTTATTTATTTGCTAAAAAATAAGAACCAAATGTTCTACTCAAAATGGAGGTAAAGTAATATTAATGAAAAAAAATTTCTCGTAAGAGTATATATATCTAAGGAGAAAAGAAAGTGATGACGAAATTATATAATTTTTTTAAAATTATATATTATTTTTTCTTAAAAAATAAATGCAGTTCACTTTAATTACTTTTAATTTAAACAATTTATTAAAAGTGATAAATAATTATACAAGTATTTTTTTAATATATTTTATTATGTTTTTACAGCTTTTGATATCACTGTTTATTATTACGTTAAATATGAGTTTATTAAAATTAAAATTTTATCTTGTATATCAACTTTAACGCTGATGTATTAATTTTTAATTTCAACATATACCATTAAATCATTGAAGTACAACTTTAAGTCTAATTGATTAATAATATCAATATTTATATTATTATCCATCAGTCTATAATAAATGTTTTGTATGGTAACGTGATTTGTAAGAGTTTATTTATAAAAAAATTTATGACTGAATGAGAAGTTGGATAGAAATTTGAGTATAGGTTTGCACACTTTTTTTTTTAGAGAGATAAGTGAGTAGGCAGGATGTAATTGTGTGAGACATTTCTGCGATTGTTGCGGTGGCGAGAAGTGTTGAATTTTGTGTATTGGAGAATTATTTTCATGATGGCACTAAGTGTGTTTGAGATGTTAGTTGGCGAAAAAGGTTCTTTCAACATGAGATCTCAAGCTTTAATCTTTTGTTGGAGCTTGTGGGTGGAATTTTTATTAAGGTGTTATAAGAAGATAAATAGGTATGGAAGATAGATTCTTCAAGTTGTTATTTAGCACAATTTGCATATTCATGACTGTTTAAACATTTTGGTGGTCCTAATAGTGTAAATCAATGTACAGTGGATGTTTTGCAAAGGCTATAGAGAGAGAAAGTCCATTTTTAAGTGTCTGGTATTTTCTTGGCAATTATTGTTGAATATACTTCCTTGTAAAGGTTTGCTGATTGATCGTGGTATTTAAATTGATGATATAACTTGTTTCTTTTATTATGGTTTGAAAAAATTTCCAACTCATTTGTTTTTAACGTGTTCAATTTTATCTCAAATTTGGTACTTTACTGCACATTAGCTTGGATTCTCACTGATTTTACCTTCAGATTTATCGACTTATTTGCTTTCTGAGGTTAGTGTTGATTATAGTAAAAGAGAAGGAATATTCTTACTAATTGTTTGGGTAAGTAAAGTGTCGTCTTTATGGTTACACAGAAATAGAATAGTATTTTTCAATGGTGTTTCGAATAAGAGAAAAGTTTTAGATTCTATTATTTTGAGGTCTTAAAAATGACTATTACTTGTTAGTAAGTGATAAGCTATTTTATTAGTTGATTAGTATCTAAACCAACAAAATTGCATCCGTCTTATCTTTGCATAAGTATATTTTTATTTTTTAAATAAATATTAATTTTTTTCTCTGTGTATATGAGTTTTAAGTTGTCTTTAAACTCTCTCTAATAATATATATTTTGCCTATTAAAAAAATATTTATATTATTATACCTAAGCTTTATCGAATTTAAATAGCTTCTATGCTTATATGAAGCAGAAAAACGAAAGTGACAAAAGATTTTTATTTGAAATTTCTAAAGAGTAGTAAGTTAATAATTATAATATTTTCAATTATATCGTGGAACTGTTTGTTTAAGTTTACAATAAATAATCATACGATACATTTTTAAAAATTTTCTTTAGAATTTTTTATTTTTAACATATGATAAAATTATTAAAATAATATTTTATAAATTTTACATTAAAAATTTGTATAATATTTATCATGTATAAACATATTTTCAATTAAAAACATTTTTCTTTTTCAAAAAAATTGCAATCAAACTAGAAGGCGAGAACTGCATCTATATTAACTCGTATCATACTTGGCAGAAAATATGATTTTTAATAATTAAAGTGAGATATTTTTTGCTATTTCCTTCAAACAGAATTTTAGACACGTATTCATTAAACAATAAAAGCATATGTGTCAAATATAAAATGAATTATTTAATATTAAAATAATAAAATTCAACATCACATCAAGCTAATAAAATTGTCAAAAGACTTGACATTTTTTAAATTGACAAGGAGTCAGCCTATCCCAATAACATGTGTGGTTTTCCTTGCAACATAGCCCATTTATTTTTTCTTTTGGTGCTTTAACCCAAATTTCATTTTATATTCCTTTTCAGTTTGATATAATTCGTGTTTTGTGATTTCTAAGGTTATATATATAACATAAATATTTTATTTTTTTTGTTTCATAACTTGGTGGCTTCTTTCTTCCTGTGTTCCCTTTAACTTTTCAAAATGTGTGGTTCATATTGTATACAAAAGAAAATTTATAATAAATATCATTTGCCCATAAACAACAAACAACAAACATCAAACATTAAGGTAACTTCTATTAATACTATATATATATAGATAGATATTACTTCCAGTCCGATTTATAAATAATAAGTATTAATATTTTATTTTAATTATAATATTTTAATGTATTAATTATTAATTTTATATCTTAACTCATTATAAAATTTGTTAATAAAATATTTAGTTTTTACTTACATAAGTAAATACATTCATTAATTTAATATATAAAATATTAATTTGATAATTTAATATTATAATTTTTTTAAAAATATAATACAAATTTATAATATATAATTTTTTTATTAATTTTAATAAATTAAATACTTTATTTTTTATAAATATAATGAGAGATATTATTTTGTATTAAAACTATTTATTAATATAGTATATCATACTACTGTTATTTTAACTTCACAGTGTCGATATAAATAGTTTGAATTTTGTGAAGAGGATTATATATATACTTATTTTTAAAAACATAAGAAAATATATAGTTGAATCTAATATTAAATGATTAAAAAATGTAAAAAACAAAGAAAGAGAAAAGGTTACAAAATTATTTGAAAAAACATGTATTCGTGAAAAAAAATTATAAAGATAAAGTATACTTTCAATTTTAGATGGAAGTATAAGTCAACCCCAAAAATAGAATTTTATTAGCATTAACTATTTTGATTAAAAAATGAACATGAATTAACATGTTTTCCTCTCCGGATCATATAGAAAATTTTCGACGTTACGCACAGCTTTACACATATTTTGAATTTCTTTAAAAAAAATTTGAGAAGTGAAAGCAACAATTCAACATCAGAATAGATAATAATATATCATAGTTCAATAATTATAAAATAATTTCAATCTTTTAATATATTTGTGAGTCTTAATTCTTAATTTTTAAGATGATTTATGAATTTATTTTCTTTTACGTTGTGTTACATTGTTATTTTTAAGTAAAATTGTATATCCTCTTTTCACTTTATAAAAAGAAGGAGCAGATTCTCTAACTGAGTTTAGTAAAGGAAAAATGATGCATACATCTTGAGAGGGTGAAGACTACAAAATTGTATATATTTTTCTTTATTACTATGACCATTTAATATTGGAGATGAGGTTTTTATTCTTTGAAAGAGTATATCTAA